CCCCCAAATTTCATGGGGTTTTCAGGGGGTGGTGAAAGTTTAGTCAACAGAACGGGGTGCTGGTCTGTATGTTCCCCGATCTGCAACCCAGTACAGTTTTGGGACACCCAGCTGTTAGCTGCTGGAAATGACTATTTTTTCGAGAGTGCTAGAATGAACAGTAACCGGTTCACCTTTCCAGCGGCTTTTCAACATCACATGGGACATGCAGAATGGTGTGTACCGGAGGTGTGACAGGAGGAAGCTAACAGCTAAACAACAAGGCAGTCCCCCGGTACCACATCTTTCTGCGTGGAGGTCATGAATATACGCATTCTCCCCTTCAGAGTGACCCTCAGAATAAGCAAACACATGACGCTGTGGGCCTCTCTCTCTCTCTCTCTCTTGCTTGCTCCCTCCCGGGCCCATGTTGCTGCGCTGGGTAGGGAGGCGTGAAACCGGATCCTGAATCCCAACAGGAAACGTCCACACAAAGTGCAAGATAAGGCCACGCGGTTTCCCAGTCTGAGCAGCAGACGAAAAAGGCTGCATTGAAGTGATTCCCCGCAGATCAAAACAAACGCGAAGTACAAGCACGTGGCAAAGAAATGCAAAGTCTCTGTAACATACAATAGGTTACACTGACGTCAATTCCCCCGACCAGCCCTGAATCTACGAGCAACAACAGTGAGCTAGAAACGTTTACGACCGAAGTTGGCGAAAGAGGTGCCGAAACAGATTCCCCGTCGTAAGAGGATCTGCTTCAAGCACAATTGCCGTGAACCCCGAAAGATCTGCCTCCCCACAGAGGCATCCATGTTTTAGGAATCTGGGGGTTCGACAAAAACCTTCGCAAATCTGTGCACAGCTGTTGAACCCAATGCAAATCACTCAGAAGACACGAACTAGCTGAGGATGCAGACCCGCTTTGGACGGACTCTCGCAAAAGCATGCCAAAATAGCACCGCAGCATTTCGATGGGACATTAGACGAGTGGCTGATTCAGTGAATTACCGAGTCCCTCGTTGCCCCATTACCGGGTGCTTGCACGCATTGTTTGAGCTGACTGCGCAGTATTCCGACGGGAGGGGCTAGATTCAAAGAACCTGCGATTGAACTATGGGAGAGATTTCCTTAGGCATGTGCAAGGGAGGAAAAGGGGAAAGCGGGCCAGCGGAAGGGAGCAACAAACCAACAACCGTAGGTAACTCTCAAGAATCCGGCTTCCCCCCATGGCCACTGTTGGTTGTGTTCCGACGTCTGCACTTCTTCATCGGAGCTTCCCCCCAATCCGGAGGGCTGTCTTCAGTAGTCTGGTCCTTTCCCGCGCGCTGGTCTGCAAGGTGACTGCGCTCATTTCTCACAGGCTCCCCCAGCTGCACGTCCACGGCTGGTTCGTCCACGGTCTCGGTCTCCGCTCTTGGGGTGTCTGTGTCCCCCTTGCTTTTCCTTTCTGGTCTCCTCGTGGTAGTAGCAATGGGACTCGTTGTAGCACCATGTCCCCCCCATGGTTGGCACGAAGCTGCTTCCTTATCTTCCTGACTTTTTCAAGAGGGACGCGGCCTGACCAGGAAAGCGGCATATGTAGGCACGCGTCTCGTCTGCTTGCAGCGGCAGGTATTTGTCCACAATGCGGACGAGTCTGTCCGCATACCTCCCAACCTTGTTGCGAGCCCGGTGGCGACAAAGGTATTTCGCATATGCTTTGGTTTGCTCCTTGCTGAGTATCTCCCCTGTCGAAGCGTCCATCTGTCTTCTCCCCGTTGTGACGATGGCCGTGTTGATCCACTCGTCCCCCGGTTCCGGTTCGTAGAGCAGCACCAGGCCTCTCCGCGTTTCGAACCCGGTCATCTCCGACAGGGGGCGGGTTGAGCAAGTGCGGGCTCTCCCGCCCGTGCCCCCTGAATGTTCACTGGGCTCTCCTTGGTCACGCGAAGGCTCCTTTTTCACACATGCTAGGGGTATGTTTGCCTGCGACCTGCGAAGTCACTCCGTGCAGGCGGCATTGCGGGTCCTGCCTGTTGTGGGTCTTCCGTAGTCCTATAGTGCATCTTCCCCCACCATACCTGCAGATACGGCACCTTGATCCTCCTCCATTCCCGCCCACATTGGCACTCATCATTATGTCGCCCGGCCGCAATATCATGGACTCTGAAGTGTTCGCGTCCCCCGCCCAATGTGCAGGCTCTTTCTGATCGGCTTGATGTCACAGTCAAGGGAGTTCTTGATGTGGTGGAGTGTGGTCTCCCCCGGTAAAAGGAACTGGAAAGAGATCTTGCAGCGCCCCGGTCCGCGACAAGGCTGTAGTTTCGAACTTGCCTGCACGTAAATGGCTCAGTGCTACAGGCCTGTCTTGGGGCCACTGCAGCAACACGGCAGCGGACGTGGGACGCCAGCCCCCCCCCGCCCCCGCTCAAAGGAACGTCCACCCAATGGAGCCGCTGGGAACAACCAGCGATCGCAGAGGGCCGTCCTTGAGCGCCCCCAAAGGGAGCGGCGGGTTGACTTGAGCCAAAATGGCTTGAGCCGAAATGAGACTCTCTCTCTCTCTCTCTGTCTCTCTCACTTCTTCTTCAATTTGCTCTACTTGGCTAGTTCCCCAGCAAGGTCACAGAAAACCAACACCAGTTATAGAGACTGAACATGCATGCTGGGGCTCCGGCCGGTAAGGGTCTCCCCTCTAATATGACAACCCTGCAACTAGAACGCATATGAGGATCCCCCCGTCAGCTCAAGCACTGAAAAGTTTCATGGTCTGAGGGAACAGCTGTGCACAAACAAGGACACAGCTATACGAGCCCGAGGGCAAGCATGTGTAAGGTTTCAACTTTGTCCAATAATATATGTTGTTGGAGGCTCGTCAGTTCTTGCAGGGTGCCTCGTGGGATGAGGAGGCCTGCTCAGTTTAGTGAAAACGAGCATGCCACCAGATGAGGGTATGCAGAATGCAAAAGCAACATGGACTGAGCAGCAGTCGACTCATATACCAGCGGTTTCTTCCCCCGAGAACAAAACATCTTTGGTAGAGCACGTGAACAATTCAAGGCTACCAACACAAGGACACATCCTAAGGGGCCAGCTTCGTTTTTCGGAGGAAGAACGCACTCTCTCTCTCTCTCTCTCCCTGTTTGTCTCTCTCTCTCTCGCTCTCTCTCTCTCTCTCTCTCTCTCTCTCTCTCTCTCTCTTCTTCCACACAGACAAGAGAAGGGGCGTCCCCCTCCCCTGCACGCAAGCGCGCACTGCTCGTCCTGGTTTCTGTGTGAAACCCAGCAGGATGCGGCATGTGGACTGTTCTGGTAGACACCCCCAACCCTTAACCTGAAAAACCTTGGTCCCCCTGCCGCAGCTTCTGCTGCAGACTCGTCTTGAGGCCCAAGCAGGCTCTGTGCCTTTTCTGTGTGCCCATATTCAAAGGCAACTGTCTGGGCTCTGGGCGTCCCCGCAACAGGACAGCAGGTTGCAAACATGAACATGACACCACGCAGACAAGCTACTACCACAACAATTTCACGTCTCGAGCCCCCCAGACTGCGCAGGCCTCTAACACTTTTGGGCTGGAACACCATTGCACCCCAGTCAGCTATTCTGCCTCAACGGAACCAACACCGACTGGGACTAGTATTACCCTAAGACACTGTAGTCCGTGGTGTCCCTAGGCCTCCTCTGCAAAAACTGTACATCGTACTGGCTGTCTCGAGTGCACCGTCCCCCCAGCTAGAAACTAAACACAGCCTAGCCCTACCCCACTACATCACATGTCTGGTGCAAGCGAAACAGCAACTGAGGGCGGCACCGGCTATCCTACCAACGGTCTGTGCTCTGGTCCCCCTATTCAAGGTTCGTTGGCTGCAGCCGCTACCCTGCGCCTACGGTGACTGCTCTCACTTGCCGCGTCCATTTCGCCCCCCAGTGGGCTCACTTGTGCTTCCGCTGCTTCTTGTGCTTCCCTCTGCTCCCTGTGCTCGTACTCTTCCAGCGCTTGCAACAAGTCGTCGTCGGTTGGGTGCCCCGGCTCGCTGGTCTGAGTGTCCCCTCCGATGTTGGATGAGGGAATAGAGCCAGACCACTGCTCTGCATCCAGAGGCGGGATCCATCGCTCCCGCTGCGGTGGGTCCCCCGTGGCGTTCCCCCCTTGCGTGCTTTGGGTCTCGATCTCGATGGGCGTGCCCTGTGCTGCGTCTCTCCACACTGTAATTGCGGCAAGGAGCTGGCGTACTTGCTGGTGCCCCCGTTCCACGAAGGTCATGGTCCCCACGATGTCTCTGAGGATTTTGTCCAGCTGGTCCATGGGTCCCCCCTGCCGGGCTGGCGGGGCTTCCTCCGCCCCCTCGTCGAGTGCTGCTACGTCGGAGGGGTGCACAAAGTCCAGCTGGCCTTCTTCATCGAGAACGTCCTCTGCATCCTCCAAGAGCATGGTGACCGCCTGGCCCCACCCTGGCACATGCCAGTCAAGATCGCCTTCAACGGTTGCTTCCAAGGCGGTTTGCACAGCTCTCTGGGCCTGTTGGATCCCCAGGTGTCCTTGTTCCACCTGGTGCCCCCACTGTCCAACTGTCGCCCTTTGCAGCAGGATCTCCCCCATTTGTAGGTCCCGCAGTGCTTGTCCCAGATCTTCTCGTATCTGGCGCTGGTTGAGGCCGTCCATGTCGTCGTCCTCTGTCATGTCCTGCAGCCTCATCCTTGCCACCGAGATGTAGTTGATGACTCGGCGCTTCTTGATTGGCCCCCCTGAGAGCGGCCCTTCCTCGCACGTGCCTGGCTCGGTTCGGCTGAGCCCCACTTCTTGCATCGCCTCTTCCAGGAGCAGCGGGATCGAGCTGCCCATGGGGTTGCATCGAAGGACGGCTGCTAGTTCGCGCAGCCAGTGCCGCACCATTGCTGCAG